TATCCAAATATCTGTTAGGGCGCTGACTACTGATTTTGCTACAAAACCCCTTGTGCCTATTTCAGTTGGCTTGCAGCTTGCCTTCCATCCATTGCTCCTACAATTTTTCCAGTAATTCATCGTATCTTAGATTTTTTCCGTTCATTCGCTTCTTCTGCATTGTCCTCATAACAGACTGTTAATTCCCAAATAATGATTTTCTTTAACTTATTTGAAAAGAGGATTAAGTCTGAACGCAATAGGATCTTGAAAATGTGATCCGGAAAATTTAATCTTTTGCCTATATCCACTCTAAGTTCCCAATCTGTTGCACACGATAGAGAATTGGGTGCAATCATTTTCTTTGGGTTAGGTTTTAACGCCGGCTTTAATAAAATTTATAACATTCCTGTTTGAATTAAATGTGTTTGTACAGATAGCTGTATTAACGACTTCTGCCATCAGCCCGCGCTTATTTGCAGTTACTAAGTGTGTTTTAATGACCCTAATTGACCACATAAAAGGGCATAAGGGCGATTATGATTTAGTCCATAGTTTCAGGTTAAATGGGCTTGGGAGAAGGTCGTAAACTGCTCGGATTAGAAAGTTCATGCCTATTTCGTTACGCCATAGTTCAGACCATCAAACTTTCCCATGAATCATTGTTTCCCATTTTGTCCATGCTCCTTGTTGCTTTAACCCAATCATCTTTGCTACTCTCATTTCCTCTTCCCTTGTGCGAATTTCGTCCAGTAAGAATCGATTATTTTCTTTGCATACGGATTTGTCAATTCTAACTCTGGGGGAAAAAAACAAGCCCTGCACGACCAATGGCAAAAGTACCCGATACCACTTTTTCGCGAAGACGCTCTTCTGCCAATTTCAATTCCTTTACCGCGTTCCATTTCAATATTTGCTCCTGCCACTTTTGGATCCTTGGAGAACTTATATTGTATTACCGTTCGCACTTTAGTGACTTTGTATTCTTCTACAAGACTTTTAAATGGGAGTTGAAGAATATTGGAATTACCGTAAATGGCAGCGCTGCCGAGACATTTTGGTAGACCTAGTCATCTCCGTAAACGAGCGTTAATCTTTTTTTTCTATCTGCTCTACGGAAGAAGTGTTACAAATTCATGACGGTCGTCTTCGAGTATAGAATCCAGAGGTTGGCAGTGAATATTTCGGAGACAGTAGGAAAGCGTAGTTTAGGCTCGCAGTGGATATCGCAGCAAAGTAGCAGAGTGTAGTTCTTCCGTCTGTCATGTTTGCCTGACATGTTGGCTCTGGTCATTCTGGTAGAGTAAACAAAGATTGCCGCCTTTATACACGACGGATACAGTGTTCTGCGGCTTCTGATTGGTTAATCTTCTATTGGTAGACTATAAAGGGAATTAAGTCATTTTGACTAACTCACTAGTTACATGATATATACACAAAAAACTGCAACAAGAAGTAATGAAATCGTAGATGGACAACAGCCAAAATATCTTGGGAAGAATAACATGCTAATAAATCCATGCCTTATATCGACCGGGTAAGCTAGACTTGTCTACTTTGTCTAACCATACTTCTAAGATGTCCTTTGTTTCTTGGCTTGCGACAGAGTCCTTCACGGTATTGTCAAAATGTTCTTGATAGAATTTTGCTTTATAGTCGGGAGATATTCACCGGACAATCTAAAACAATTCCTCTCTGATGTTTTTCCTTTTTTTTTAACACGAGTATCCTTTATTTGGCAACGTTGAAATTGATCCTCGCCCATAAAATAAGTTTCTCCAAGCCTTCTAATAACCACCTCGCGCCAATCACAACGGGGGTGTTATGGTTGTGGAATCGTGTATGGATTCCACTCTTTTGCGCTCGCGCGTATTGCACCCCTTCCTTTCACGTTTGGCCAGATATAGCAGTAAACCGCTGACGCGAGGAAGGTTGCTGGCTAGCTACGCCTGATGCCGTCTAGAATCAGAATTTGAAGTTTTCCCGTGCATTTCTCTGACGTCACTGACTAACTTTGCTTTTCAAGTTAGTCGCCGCCTGATTTTCAAACTAGAAGGTTGACTCATTTATTCCGTGCCCCTAACCCATACGCGGGCCGGAATATCTTAACTAACCAAAATTTCAACATGTCGTGTGATTACAACTTCTCTTCAAACAACTTGTTTGAACCTTCTTCCGTTTTTCTACTAGAAAACGTAGAGTATCGACACTGTCGACATCACATTTTTCCAAGACCAATTCCTCGTCTTGAAGTGAACAACATGTTTGAACCTTTTTTCATTTTCTACCAGATTCTACAACATGGTCGTCAGCACACTTTTCCAAGACTAATTTCCTCGTCTTGATGCGAACAACTCAGAATTTTCCTTCACTGAAGATTGATGAACTTTTCATACACCTCTTTTGAATTCTAACCTTTACGAACCAGTTTTAAAAAACGATAACATTACACACACATTATTAAACCTTGCTGTGAGTATTTTTCCTTGTTGTGTATGCTTACACCTTTTGTACAAGAAGACTAAATTCCATAACTTTCATTCTGAAGAAACTTTTCCCGCCTTAGCCATTTTGGTTTTGTTTTGGCGCGGAACTTTAACATTTTATTAGTCTCTGCATATTACTAACAGCCTACAGGCTAAAAAACAGACCTTACCTTTCCTGATAGTCTCCACTGTTGAGACAAGATTATTTGTTATTAAAATAAAATTTCTCATTTGTTTTCCACCAGACTAATTTTGTCGTTTTATCCTGGCTATCTATATTTTACTATTTTTGTGCATGTGTTAAATGACCCTTTTTCCTCACTAAAGATCAAACATTTATTATTTTTACTTTGTTAGTGGATTCGGTAGTCATGAGTTTTGTCTGGCACAAGGCCACCTTTTCGTAAACCAGCACTGCATGCTACCGGGCCCGCAGCATGGTCATATCGTCCATGTATGCTCTTATTGGAGGTTGCCGTTGACCAGATCTTATTAAAGGACCTCTGCATTCCGCAGCTTTTATGGCCATGGCTAAGGAAAAGAGGGTAGCTGAGATGGTGCAGCCTGTTATAATGCCTCTTTCCAATCTATGCCATGTAGATGTTGTGTTTCCTGCTGTTGTTCTCATTTTGAAATTATTATAATAGTCCACTATGGTCTCTATGATTTTGGCGGGAACGTGATGGCGTTTTCAAGGATTGTTCTACCAATGTTCTTAAAGTCCAGCCACAGGAAAGCCATATCGCCCTTATGTGATTTCACGTCTTTTAGCATCTGCGTAATAACACCCACGTGTTCTACGCACCCCGGTATGCCTGGGGCACCTCCTTTTTTGGAAGTTGACCAACAGCCAATCGCAATGGTGGGAGCTCTATTTAAATTGTTTACGGGGGATTTTTACTCTTTCTATTTTTAAGTGGTTACTCATCGAATACTCGGAATGTAATTATGTGTTTTCCGTATTTTTTTAAATTTATTTTCCCTCCCTTAAATTTCATCTCCCCAGCTGATAAATACTGTCATTAAAAAAAAATATAATAATAGCTATTTTACAATAATTAGGACATTCATTTTTGTAGTTATGAATGCCCGAGTTTATGTTGGTTTTTATATGGAGAGGTAACAAATTTATTATTATTATTATTATTATTATTATTCAATTCATCAAGTAGCAGGATGAATTTTTTCGTCTTAAATTTATACCTGAAGAAATGATTTGTTTTGAATATCATTCTTTTGGATGTATATTATTTATGTCTTTGACTAAAATGAGAATGTCATCAACATATCTTAGATATTGGGAGTAATTTTGTAGCATTAAGTACATTATTTTCTACACTAGTCATGTAGATATTGCTAAACGTTGGTCCAAGAAGGGAACCCATGGAGGCACCATCGCATTGTTCGTATACATTATTTTAGTGGTCATAAAAAGGAGATTCTGTAGTGCAAATCAATGTCTAATGTCCTAATTATTACATGCAACTTGCTTGATCATAATGTGTGGGACACTTTGATCTGGAGAACATCAAATCTCCTTGTAACACCAAAGATGTAGAGAAGGCAAAGATTATGGTAGCATTCACCAACTAAAACAAACAAGACCGTCCAGAAAGAGTTGCAGGAGATTCCGAAGTCGTATGGCGGCGGTGGCTGAAGCCAATGCCGATTATATTGAATTAATTTACTCTTTAGTATTTCAAGATATTTTCTTGTGTCATTTAGGTAAATCTATCTGTTAAAATGAGATATCAGTATGAATATCATTTCTGAGTAATTTAGACGACAATTTATCCATCGCACTCTCTTTCTCTCTCACTATATATATATATATATATAAGTATGTATATATATATATATATATATATATATATATATATATATATATATATATATATATATATATATATATATATATATATATAGAAGAGATCAACAAAATATACCATAATGAGACACAATCAATACTGCATATACAACCAGAAAAATTTAAATATATATATATATATATATATATATATATATATATATATATCATTTTGTTTTGCGTAGGAACCAATTATGCGCTCCAGTCAAAAATCAATGAACTTTTTTCATCGGAAAGCCTTCCAGGTCTGCAGGTCTTCTTTGAGTCGAAAAAAAAAAAATCAAAAAAAAAAATACCTTCAATAGGAAAATAAGTTTCTCATCATGGAAATTACACATCTTTCGTCAATCTCAAACTTTGGCATCTTCTTCCCCTTTTATATTTAGTGTTCATTTCCCACCAAGAACGTTGAGTGACTGGCAGAGAAAGATCGTCGAATCTTCCGCCTGTCTGTAAACGCGTTCTTGTATTCATTTTCTGATTGTGTAACAGGTATTCATCTTCTCTTGAGAGATAGCAGCACAGAAAGACATATTTAAAAACGAGGAAGAAAGAGAAAAGAAAGAAAGAAAGAAGGAAAGGGTGATGATAAAGAGGGAGAACTAAGATAGGAAGAAAGACAAAAAAAGAAAAAAAAGAAAGGAAAAAGTGATGATAGAGAATGAGAACTAAGAAAGAAAGAAAGAAAGAAAGAAAGAAAGAAAGAAAGAAAGGAAAGAGTGACGATAAAGAGAGGGAACTAAGAAAGGAAGAAAGAAAGAAAAAAGAAAGAAAGGAAAGAGTGACGATAAAGAGAGGGAACTAAGAAAGGAAGAAAGAAAGAAAAAAGAAAGAAAGGAAAGAGTGACGATAAAGAGAGGGAACTAAGAAAGGAAGAAAGAAAGAAAAAAGAAAGAAAGGAAAGAGTGACGATAAAGAGAGGGAACTAAGAAAGGAAGAAAGAAAGAAAGCAAGAAAGCAAGAAAGAAAGAAAGAAAGAAAGAAAGACAGAGTGATGATAGAGAAGGAGAACTACGAAAGGAAGAAAGAAAGAAAGGAAAGAGTGATGATAAAGAGAGCGAACCAAGAAAGGAAGTAAGAAAGAAAGAAAAAAGAAAGAAAGAAAGGAAAGAGTGATGATAAAGAGAGAGAACTAAGAAAGAAAGAAAGAAAGAAAGGAGGAAAAAAGAAGGAATGAAAGAAAGGAAAGTGATGTTAAAGAGGGAGAACTAAGAAAGGAAGAAAAATAAAGAAAAAGAAAGAAAGAAAGAAAGAAGGAACGAAAGAGTGATGATAAAGAGAGAGAGAGAACTAAGAAATAAAGAAAGAAACTGAGAAAGAAAGAAAGAAAGAAAAGGGAAAGGAAGAAAGTGATGATAAAGAGGGAGAACAAAGAAAGGAAGAAAAACGAATGAAAAGAGAAAGAAAGGAAGGAAAGAGTGACGATAAAGACGGAAAACTAAGACAGAAAGAAAGTGTAATGATAAAGGTTTTGAATTAAGATAGCAACAAATGATGATAAACAGAAATAAAGAGTAATAATAAATAGGGAGAAAAAAGAAAGAAAGAAAAAAGAAAGAAAGAAAGAAAGGAAGAATGTGTAACGATAAAGGGTTAGAATTAAGATAGAAATAAACAGTGATGATAACGAGAAAGAAAGAAAGAAAGAGTAATGATAAATAGGGAGAAGAAAGAAAGAGAGAAAAAGAAAGAAAGAAGAAAGAAAGAGTGACGATGAAGAGGGGGAACTAAGAAAGAAAGTAATTAAAGAAAGAAAGAAAGAAAGAAAGGAAGGAAGGAAGGAAGGAAGATAGAAAGAAAGAAAAAAGAAAGAAAGAAAAAAGAAAGGAAGGAAGGAAGAAAGGAAGGAAGGAAAGAAGGAAGGAAGAAAGAAAGAAAAAGGAAAGAAAGAAAGGAAGGAAGGGAGGAATGAAGAAAGAAAGAAAGAAAGAAAGAAAGAAAAAAAGAAAGTTTTTTTCCCCCCGATAGAATGTGTCAGTCTACCGTCTGCCCATACACTGAACATCGCTGTCACTTCTGGTCTGGTGTTTTTGTATGCATTTAGATAGATTTGATAATATATAAAGAAGAATTTACAATGTTATTGGCCCTAAACTGGCCCCTTGGCTTCGGGCACGTAGTTCCCTGTGCCTTTTCTATAAATATTTTTCATGATAATTTTTCAAATCATCCTTCCTCTTTGCTACCTTGATTTTATGTATGTTAAATTTCTACTATATTGATGACAAGGTCTTATCATCTTCTAGCTGAAATGGTTAGATATAACCGTACTATCTTCTCTCGTATTTCTCTAGATTTATTTATTTGCTTTTTTATTTATTTAAAATTTAAATTATTTTTACTTTCTGTATTTGTGATCGTGAAGATATATATCTCAACTTTGCATTTTCTACTCTGATTCACACACACACACACACACACACACACACACACACACCAACACACAGCCACACCCACACACACACACATATATATATGTATATATATATGAAAAAATATACTTTTAACTTGTGCTATATTTATGGGATAAAGTGCTTAATATCAGAGATAGACCGTATGTAAATATAAAAGTGAACATTGAAGTCAACACTCAAAGGCGACAGACTGTTTCATAACTAGACGCAATCGTCAGGCAATGTGTCTTGGGTTTTTCTCGACTATTTATATATACAGGTCAGTGGTGCATTGTGGTAGTCCATTCTGACGGTTATTTTGGTGGGAGTGGTTTATTTATTTAGGTGAATTTATGTTACTTGCTTTTTATGTTATATATATATATATATATATATATATATATATAAAGGGAAGAGGTTATAGTAGTTCCAACGAGAGAAAAGTGTGTTTAATAAAAAGAAGAGAGAAACCGCAAACGTTTTTGGTTGTAATGTGGATTTTAAAAAAATATATTATGTTTTTTTTTCCATAATTTTGCTACACGCATTTCTGGTCTCGCGACCTTCATCAGGCAAAGAGTGGATATTTCAACATATTATTAAAAGGAATTAATTCTTCTTATGTTTTTCGATGTTAAATATCCTCGATATTTTCAGACAATTATTATTAAATGAATATATACACACATTCACGTATTTTGCTTTTGATCTGTTGAAGCCTAAACGGCACAATTTATAATCGTATATATTTCGAAACAATATACTTTCGTGAACGTTTGCCAGTTGTCAATAATATACATAATTAGATAATAGACCTATATATATATATATATATATATATATATATATATATATATATATATATATATATATATATTAAAATAATTCATATTTATATGTATTTCACTCATTTAAACCGTTTTTTAACTCCTCTCTTTAAAACTTCTCTCTATTAAATTTTAATCCTCACCATCACTTTTAAGCCTTCCTGTTCTTCTCTCGTCTGTTACTCCCTCTCTAGAGCTTTCATTTACTTCTCATAATCGTCCCTCACTGTCATACATACACTCTCACTAAATTTTATTTTTTATTCCCGGAGTTATTTTTCTGATTTCTTTTTGAATTTTAGGTCTGATGAATTGGATCGTAATTACGATTCCAATGTAATAAATTATAACCATGGAATATTAGTGTTTAAGCCTTTTTATTACACACACACACACACACACACACACACACACACACACACACACACGTATGTGTGTGTGTGTGTGTGTGTAATCTATATAATATAAATATATTTTTTATAATATATTTTATAACTTCAAACGTTATTCAATATAATACTGGATACTTCGTATTTGAAATAGACGCCCCATTTTTTATTTGTTAAACAGTACGTATAACGTTTATCAGCCTACGCATTTGAGAAATCGTAGTAAAGAAAATGTATTATCCGGCAGTAATCGAACTAGTGTTCCCCTTTGGAGGATTAACGGTAGTTAATCTTACAAAGAAACTTCTTGAGAAAGATGCTTTAGAAACCTCTTTGTTTAAGTTTTATTCATGAAACTGAGCAGATATGGGCACTCGAGAAAAAAAATATAACAATCTGAGTGAAGTGGATGTGTTTTACTAAGAAGTCCTTCGTGGTCGAGCGATAAAATATTTAGGATCAAATGGCGGTAGCTACCGTATCGTACGATTTCTGGCAGCATATTTCGCAGAAATATGCTATATATTTCATGGTCTTCTGAAGGGATGGAATACTAGATTTTATCCCTATTTTCATAATTCAGGATCTGTAAGTTCGGGAGTCTAGACCCCACCAACACTCAATGATAACTGGGACAATAATGGCGTCCGATATTCAGGGAATTTCTACAGCTCGTCCCTTTATTTCTCTTAACTCATCCTCTTCCTCTTCGTCCTCCTCCTTCTTTATTGTCTCTTTTGATAAAAAAAACAAACAAACAAATCTATCTGGTTCGATGCTCTCCTCAACCATAAAAAACGGTTGATTCATTCATTCATTCGTTCATATTTTACGGCTTATCAACCCTTGTTTTTTGGAGATAATAATAGTTTAGTGATACCAGTCTAATAATTAACCCGTAGCTGGGGAGAAGTAGTGAATTCATACCTAATCAGAGTTTGATAAACAAACAAAAAAAAAAAATATGGATATAAAGTGGGGGTCATTTTCACATTACAAACACTATATAAACTGATCCCTCATTTTGAAACCACTCTAGTTTCTATACATCTGTATGCTAGAAAATGCGAATAAATCTAAAACACATACCTGTATAGCTAATCAGTATTTCATTGATTGATTGATTCGTTTTTGAAGCTTATATACCCTTTGTATGTTATTTAAAGTCAGAAAATATTTATATATTATAACAATTTCTGTTGAGATAATAATGGTTTCGCCCAACTAATTAACCCATAGCTAGGGGAAAGAGTTGGATTCATACCTTTCCCAAAGGCTTTTAGTGTAACTGAATATAACGAACCCAACGAGAATTGGAACTCAGCTATCTGGTTAACAGTTTGAAGACATTATCCATTACACCATCCACACATCCAAGCTTACAGTACCTGCTATTTCCAAGTAGTCACCCATCGAGGTACTGACCAACTTTGACATTACATATCTTCGTTGTTCGTACTGGTGTTTTAATGTCCCCGTAAGCCTTACTCACAACAGGAGAATATTACAAAGAATTTAGTCATCTATTATATTGCTATCAAGTGAATACAACCATTTTTCTTTTTTTTACAAATTTTGGACTCTTAGTGTGCGAAGAAAGTAATAAGATGTTACTTTATTTTTTAAAATTTTTAAGTTCTTATAACTTTATAACTTCTATGATGTTAACGATAAAACCTCTCAAGTTTTCAAAGGACGTTCTAACCATAATGCTTGTATACTGAAAACAAGGCAAGAAATAAAATACAGGAAACTGAACCAAAATAGCAGAGCTTTTTTATTTGCAAATAACAGGATTATGAAAGTATTTAACAATAAAAAAGAAGATATGAATTAACAATTCTCATTTTTAATCATTTTTGAATCGAGGATTGAGGATCTTTAATTCCATAATTGTTGAAACTTGACTAATGCATGGAATAATAATGCAACACAAAAGGTACTTAGAACAAAATGTATTGAAACAAGAAAGTGTACACAATATTTACATATAGTCTTTTGTATATTCCTGGTAAGGCCGTTCCTGGAGAATGTGTTGACTGAGTTGCAGTCGGGCAGAGTCTCGGGTTGAATCTCTTGATTCCTTCCTCTCTTCCCGGTACCAACCATATTTATATTTATATGGTCGGTGCTCCACTATCCTACCACAACAATAATAATAATAATAATAATGAAGGCAAAAAGTGCCTCGTTATTGATATGGCCGTCTCTACAGACTGAAATATATCTTTGAAGATCTTCAAAAAGCTATCAAAATACAAAGAGCTTTAAAAACGAAATCTTAGAAATTTGGCACATGAGAACAATTCCACTTGTATTTGAATGCCTCGGATTGATTGGAAAAGATTCCAATTGACTCATTGAAGGGATTCCTTGTAGCCGATGACTTAAAGAAATGCAAACAATTATTTTTTTATTTAAATTGCTCAGTGGCAAATGTCATGACGCCATTTTTGACCTTAGGTCTCTGGTCCGGACTCGGAAAGAAATGAGTACACACCAGAAATCAAAGGAAATAATAATAATAATAATGATAATAATAATAATAATAATAATAATAACAGCAACATGTACAGCTTATACTTTACAAAGGGATTCTTCTATGTAAAATATGTTTGACCTTATGGTTTTTTTTATTTTATTTTTTTTTACAAAATTACTTAGTGGGAAATGAGTATACACCAGAAACCAAAGAAAACAAAATACTACTACTAATACTGCTACTACTACTACTACTACTACTACTAATAATAATAATAGTAAAAATCATAATCGTAAGTATCATAATAATAATAATAACAGTAATAATAATAATCATATCAATAATATTAATAATCCTAATCATTATTTACATTATTCGGACTTTTGTCTTCATCTTTGTCGCCATATTTATTACAACGTTTCGGCCGTTGTACGCTCCGGCCTTCTTCAGGTAGTTGGAACGTCGAACTGAACACTTTATTTCGCTCACTGGAGTAGACTAGTTCCACGTGCCATGTTTAATGGATGTCAGTTATCAGTTATCACCTATTAATTTGCCTCTGAAATTTCTTCGCTGCCTTAACCGGGTATTGAACTCACAATCTTTGGGTCCTGTCACTGGATCTAACCAACGCCTTTATCCACTTTGCCATGTGACCTTGAATAATGTAAATAATGTACATAATACCTCATCTTAGAAATAATGACAAATCCTAATAATAATAATAATAATAATATTAACAAAATAATAATTATGATAAAAATATTCATCATAATCTTAGTATTAATAATAATAATATAATAATAATTTCTTTATTTATTTTCATTTAATACAATTTTTTTGCTATTTAATTAATGACTTTTATTTTATTTATTTATTTTATTTCTTTCCATTTTTGATTTTATTTTATTTTTCATTTTTTTTTCTTTTAATTAATTTTTCGTTTTCATATTTATTTTATTATTTTTTATATTTTATTTATATTTTTACTCATTGATTCTAATACACAAAAAAACTTTTTGTCTCTTGACTTCTCTGGATGAGACTTAGGAGGTAACGCGACATTGCAAAACGCAAGGGCAAAACACAAAATCAACAACAACGATAACAACAACAGTAACAACAACAACAATAATAATAATAATAATAATGATAATAATAATAATAATAATAACAACGACTGTAACCGATTGTTAAAATCTTCGTCCTTGGAGGCATTAAAGTAACTCTGCCTAAAGTGGGATTTTTTCTTTTAAATATATTCATCTTTATACTAAAAACCTTCTTTAATAGCTAGAAAAAAAACTGATTTGCAATTCTAAGGCGTTTAAATTTAAATATGGATTAACATGAGATTTGTGAAAATGGAAATATTTCTGAGCGCACATTTAGGGATACAGTGAAGCTATAATCCAATTATAACGCTTTCAATTTTTTTTTATCGAGTTAAATGATTGCGAATTCGTACCGATGGCAGTCAACGGAAATACACGGATTGCAGAGGTATATAAAGCAAACATATACCTTCAAGTTCCAGTAGAAACTGCTTCTGCTTACTTGTAAAATCAGCACTTCATGGAGATCTTCAGTTAGAACCTTTAATGGAATCATCAGGACTGAAGATTGCATTGAAACATGCAACTGAAACTCAAACTGCAGTGTTGATACAGAGAGCATCGGCGACCAAGCGTCGATGACCGAGATGTCAAAAGCACGTCACATCTAATGACAGTTTCAGCTTGGGATCATCCGAAAAAAAAATATTAGATCGCATGAGAAATTATATAAAAAACTAAATCAAAGCACCTTGTCTGTTTAATTCAATGAAATGTGTATGAAATGACTGCTGCTTAAAATACACAAACACACACACACACACATATATATATATATATATATATATATATATATATATATATATATATATATATATATATATATATATATATATATATACGTTATATATTTAATGAAAAACAGACCACTTTAAGGTACCATTACAATAATTTATTTCACCAAAATCCTTTTTAAAGGATTTCGGATCATCGGGTAAACACTTCCAACAATGAAATGAGAAGAAAAATGTGATTAGAAATTGATGGGTAGTGTAATTTTTGTAATTAAACAGGGAGGGTGAAGGTTGCGGTTAAAGGGACAATACAAAATATAGGGAGGGTTAAATTTACATCTCTCTTAAATAAGCTTTATATTGGGGTAGGAGGAGTGACCTAACCTTGACCTATTTATATGGTTAAAGAAAACGGAAGTGAATTATAGAAATAGTGAGGAAAGGAAATAAAGTAAAAGGAAAAAAGAGAAAAAAAATGGAAAAAAAGAGACGTATCCAAATATACGTATATATACGTAAATATATATATATATATATATATATATATATATATATAAATAAATATATATATATATATATATATATATATATATATATATATATATATATATATATATATATCAGGTGTAAAAGCAAAATTGTCCAAATCGTGTTACAGCATAGTTACAGCATAATAATACCCTCACAAAATGTTTAATATCTAAAAGAAAACACGAAACTAATACTATCTTTTTCTCAGGTTTTCTGATAAGAAATTTAGCCATCTTGACACCATTTGTCGTAAGAACGTTGAAAAACCCTTTGAGTTATTAAGCTAGGAAGAGTACAAAATTGATATGTGTCAGCCCCGGTATGTCTTCCCAACTGGGCAATGGTGAAGAAAAAAGATCATTCAGCGCTTTAGTAATGGTACCAACTTTCATAATCTGGCTTCTATCCTCAAAGTCCATTCAAGAACGATCAAGACAACGGTAAATAAGTGTAAATAAGATAGAACATTATTTACATTATTCGGACTATTGTCCTTATCTTTGTCACCATATTTATTACAACGTTTCGGCCGTTCAGTATCTGTCTATATTTCTGAGATGAGGCATTGTGTACACTATTTATATTACTCGGACTATTGTCCTCATCTTTGTCGCCATATTTATCACAACGTTTCGGCCGTTGTACGCTCCGGCCTTCTTCAGGTTGTTGGAATTTCGAACTGAACCCACGTGACATGTTTGATGGATGTCAGTTATCAGTCATCTCCTGCTAATTTCCCACTGAGAGTTCTCCACTGCCTTAACCGGGTATTGAACTCACACTCTTTGGGTTCTGTCACTGGATCTAACCAACGCCTTTATCCACTGTGCCATGTGTCAACGTACAACGGCCGAAACGTTACGAAATATAGGCAAACTCTTAAAGATAGAACAGTAGATTTGAAAAACTGGATCAGGAAGTCACAACAGGAAGAGGGATCATTATTTCAAATTAGAGCTAAATCGATCAGTTAAAATAGATCCAAATCAATCCATAAGATGTTTGACACCTGAGAGAGGCGTTTCATCTATGACACTCGAAGTTGCAGTGAAAAAATACTCGAAAATTAAATGGTACGTGAAACGTGTGAGGTATCTTGTTACTCCAGGACAGAAAGTTAGAAGGTTTGATAGGGCGAAGATCATTTGAATAAGTTGAAAAACATTCCTGGAATAATATATATATATATATATATATATATATATATATATGTGTGTGTGTGTGTGTGTGTGTGTGTGTGTGTTTGTGTGTGTATGTGTGTGTTATTCCTGGAACATTTTCCTTTGATCCTTAGCTACGATTAATTAATGATGAACATCATAAAACGTTGGAGAATTTCAGTAAGATATCTTTAATTATTTCTTAGATACAACGGTTCAAAGCTTATTCTAACAATTGGTCAATTTTGCTGTTACACAATTTGGACAATTTTGCTGTTACATCCGGTATTAGTAGAAGAGAGAGAGAGAGAGAGAGAGAGAGAGAGAGAGAGAGAGAGAGATATGCAAAGAACCTGAGTAACAAAAGAAAGAGTAGGTACGAGCGATAAAATTAAAGGAAAGCAAATAGTAAAGAGAAATAGAGAGCAGGAGAGAGAGGGAAAGAGAGAAAAAAAAGAGAGAGAGAGCAGGAGAGAGAGACACCAGGAGAGAAAGTGAGAGAGAGAGAGAGCAGGAAAGAGAAAGCAAGCGAGAGAAAGAGAGAGCAAAAGAGAGAGATAGACGTAACAGTAGTGTAGGTTATTCGGCAAGTACACTGTCTTAAGTAAACATGCACATACAATAAATGCAAACAACACCAGAACTTGAACAAAAGTTGCAAGACGACCAAGTAAATTGATAACAAAAGCTGTAAAATTACGTCCAATATGGCGGACCGCTCAGATGTGCGTGGAGTTTGGCCGGTAATTATGTGACTTGAAATGAAGATCAGTAGATTCATGCTGCACTCTTATTGTTCGCTTAGCAAACAATCCATGGATTGTTGTTTAACACAGAGGTATCATCACGAAAGCCATTGATAGTTATTTATCTATTTCTTCCTTGAGCTTTTTCTTTCGGTTTTCTTCTAACATTTCGTTTATTTTGCTTTTCGATTCTCTCTCCCTCGATCATCCCCTTTTTCGTTCTCATTATTTTGCCATTCTCTTTATTTTGGGGATTTATTTTGTTATTAATGTATTTCCTTCATTTATTTTTTTCTTTTTATATCTTTTATTATTTTGCTTTTTTCTTTTTTTTCTTTCTTTTTTTCTTTGGATCTTTTTTCATTCTTTATTCGTTATTTTTCTTCTTGTTACCGTTTGGGGATATATTTTGTTATTTTGTTGTTTTGTTATTTTGTTTTGTCGTTGTTGTTGTTGTTGTTCTTCTTCTTCTTCTTCTCGTTCTAGTTCTTATTCCTTATGTTCCGGATGTTGTTCCTATTGTTCTTCTTCATGTTCTCCTTGTTTGTTGTTGTTGTTCTTGTTGTTGTTGTTCTTGTTGTTGTTGTTGTTGTTGTTGTTCTTCTTCTTCTTCTTCTTCTTCTTCTTCTTCTTCTTCTTCTCGTTCTTCTTTATGTTGTTGTCTATTCTTGTTCTTTTTGTTCATGTTCTGGATTTTTGTTTTTGTTGTTGTTGTTGTTGTTCTTCTTCTTCTTCATGTTGTCTTTGTTTGTTGTTGTTGTTGTTGTTGTTCTTCTTCTTCTTCTTCTTTGTCTTCCCTTGTCCCTTCTGGATGTGGGCGATCTGGCTCTCTACAACCTTCTATTCTTTGCAGCTGGTGAGTTCTGTCTTTTCAATATTCTTCCCACACCCTGTTCTGCTCTCCATTTTCCTAAACTCCTTAGGTTAGAATTTGTTTTCAATATGTCCAGTGAGTGTCAAATTATCCAAGAAATTTCAACGGTCTCTTTATAAATTAAAAAAAAAACATCTTCCTTATTTCCCACATGTTCAGTCCATGGTATTTTACCACAAATCTCTTAAAATATGCACTTCTTCAACATTTGTTTTATTTTATATATATCCTCATGCTAAATATACCAATTTATATTTGTATAGTTTTGCAATAGAACGTTGAGTGTTACCAGTGTAAAGGAAGTTGTTATAATCTCCCTTGATCTGTTGACATTAAGTGACACTTTCTTTGGTTGTAGCCAAATGAAAAAAAATGACAAAAAAAAAACAAAAAAAAACACAACGGCTTCCCATACTTAATACTTCTTGCTTTCACTCTCGCGTGGTCATATGTGACGTCACGAGCTGCGACGTGATTTTCGCTTCCGCGTCTCGTATACACGATTTTAGTCGTTGCTTTGAAATTTTTCATGCAACAAAAACAGGCTATCATTATTGTTCCGTGTATTGGTTGATATATTGAAAAGTAATTTTCATCTTTGACAATGGCTTATGTAAGCCGAAAGCTTAGATTGGATTTAAACATGTATCAATATGGTGATTTCCTTTCGTCTTTCAATGATAATCTTATTAAGCTTATCAAACAATATGAAAGGAACTTACTTAAAATAAATAGACAAAACTTGTCTATATTATTTAATGAAACATGCATCAATATATATATATATGACCTGCTGCCTTATAAATAGTAAGGGTGTCGTAAGGCCTCACAAGTATCAACCTGCAGTTGAGAAGACCATCCTAAGGCATTGGTAGAAACATCAAACCAATCTTTGTATGGCTTGTATTGAGTTTCCGAAAGACGCTTCAATCATGGATCCTGTAAACACTCCAGATGTTCGGTATAGCAGACCATAATATTACTGTTCTCAATAAGAGTATGAGCGCTTAGAAAACTCGTTTGTATTCAAATAATGAATATTTTGGTGATGCGATGACGAAGAAAGTTTTTTTTTTTCAAAGCGACTCATTCTTAATCATGTTATTTGTCATGCCGTTCATAGCAATTTCTGTCTGGAATGGAAGCTGTTTGCAAAATCTTGGAATCAGGTCGGTACCCTATTGAAGCGCGAACAATTCAGTAATGATGGAGGAATCCGATTCCGGATTTCCCAGTCTGATGTGCTGGCTATGAAGATAGAAAGGAATGCATGATGTGGCATTCAAAAAACACTTGAAGACGTCATGACAGAGCCAAATGAAAGCGAAACAAAATAACTTAGAATCCCCAAACATGACATTTACGGCCATATGACCGTGAAACACCGATTCTCGTAAGATCACCGAAGTTAAGCAACGTCGAGCCTGGTCAGTGTAATCCTTAGAAATTTCAATATTTTCCTTCTGATTGTAAGTATACGTCCTTTTTTGTTTCTAGTTCCCTTAAAGTTTAATCTTTACTAATATGTTCAATCTGTGGTGGTCTTAGAATCTACCTAGATGGGTGTCCTTTGAGGAATACTAGACGATGTATACGTGGATGTACGTATGGTGTAATGGATAAAGATTGTTGATTTGGATTGGTTTATTTTACGGCATATCAACTTCAATGGGTTATTTAATGCCGACAAGATTTTTATTGAGTGTAATATTTTTTTTTATCTATCTATCTATCTATCTA